GCTAAAACAGTGAACAGTCAAAATATCTTCAAATATAACCAATCAGCAAGTCAAAGATCTTAAAGTGGTTTCAGCTTTATCAATAGCAGTTGACGAATCTTGTGACATAAATGATATAGTGCAAGTTTCACTTTTTGTACAATTTATTTCATCTACAGGTCCCAAAGAAGAACTTTTAGGATCATTGCCACTCAAAAGTCAAACACGTGGTGAAGATGTAGCAAATGCTGTTAATAGATGCACTGAAAAACATCATATTTCGCTTGATAAAATTTTCTCAATTGCAACAGATGAGGCGAAAAGTAAGATCGGCGTAAAAAGTGTTTTTGTTGCTGTTTTGAAAGAAAAAATTCAGTCACAAGATACTTGCTTACCACTGTATCATTCAGAAGTGCTTTGTGCGCAGACATTTCCAGAAGAAATTTGCAAAGTCATGGAACTGGTGATTACGATTAGCAACTCCATTATAACTATATCATCATTGCCAGTTTAAAGAATTTTTATTTGAAATGGGGAGTGAGTACAGATCTTCTGCTGCATAATAAAGTATGCTGGTTATCAAGAGGAAACATTTTGAAACTTTTCATGTCCTCATTAACAGAAATTAAAGTATTTCTCCTTGAAAAGGGCGTTTATTATTCAGAACTAATGAACGATCAGTGGATCAAAAAATTATTTCATGGTTGACATAACGTCTCATTTAAATCAACTTAATTAAAGCCTACAAGGGGGGAAAGACACAATTTTTCCTATGTCATAGGAGTTTACTTCATTTGAAAACAAATTATCTCTTGGTCAAGTTTTTGAAAGAGAAATTTTGATTCACTTTACAAGCCTGTTAAATATCACCAAGACAATTCTGATACTGACATTTGCTATTTCAAAACAACAGTTTTAAATATGAGAGAAGTTTTTCTCAGCAGGTTTCAGGAATTCAGAAACAACAAAGCGAGGTTTTGTTAATAAACCTCTTAATATTACTGCAACAGAATTAAAATTTTCTCCCTTTAATATTGACATTGGCAAATTTGAAATCCAATTGCTGAATTTAAAAAAACCAAGAATTATGGAGCTCAAAATTTGAAAGTCTTAGCGCTGATACAGAAACATTGGAGAAAAACAAATATGAGCTTACCTCATAGCACAAGAGGTCTGCTTTGAAAGATCTGGAGAAGGAAGATATGTTGATTTTTAACAAATGCAATAGTACTTCTGACTTATATAATCAGGTGAAAAAACTAGCGTTTGCTGTTCTTTCCTTATTCAGATCTACATCTATATTCATGCAAATAATAATTTTCAAGCATGAACCTTTATCAAGAGTAAATTAAAAAGTCCTCTTATTGAGGAGAACTTGGAATCATGCTTAAAATTAAAAACAACAATATACAAACCTGATTTACACAAAATTTCCAAGGAGATGCAAAGATTTTGTTCACATTAGTGCTTTTTCGTCATTATCATGATTTAATATTCTGGCTAACTTACAATTTTACTTTATCAATTAATAGTATTGTTATATCAAGTGTAATACAGTACAAAGTCCGTAATCCAGACGTCCATTATCCGGAATGATCTATAATCTGGACCTCAAAGCCACAAACTTACACCACAAACCCTCAAAGCCCCAAACATGTTTGATGCATGCGTCCGCTACACATGCACGTAAAGCCAGTAAAGCGTGTTCACATGTACGCTTCCAAGAGTGAAGAAAGTGACAGAGGGGTTATTGAAAACGACAAAATTCGATTGACAAAAAGTCGGTATTCTCCACACAGCAATTGCAGGATTTGAACAGTGGAACTTTGTAACTGAACAAGAAATTATGTCTGTTTATAGAAGAGAAAATTAAAGAGAAAGTATTAGCACAAAAAACGAAGCAATTTAAACAACTTACATTGAAAGACATGTTTAACAAATAAAATAAACAAATAAATATTAAGCTTCTTCTTCTTTTTTTTTTTTTTTTTTTTGTAAATTTTGATACCCTTTAGATCATAATTGCCTCTTATTTCATAAATTACGGTTTCATATTTTTAACTGTATAATTTCTGCATGCCATCTTACCAGATTTAAATTGATGATCTATAATCCAGAAAACCCCCTAATCTGGATTCCCCAAAGTCCAGACGAGTTCGGATTATGGACTTTGTACTGTATCAAGTTTTATTCGATACCTATATAGTTTAACTAAGCCTTTAAAAGTTGAAATATTAAGTTAATTTTAGGAAATAATGTGAAATGAAAAAATATGTAGTGTTGAGAATTGAGAAAGTTATGTTAAGATGGTTGTGATATATAGAAAGGAAGAACAAAAGAAGATACATAAAACGAGAATACAAGACAAGTGTAGACAGGAGAGTTGGAAAAGGGTCAACCTCAGCAAACATACATTGACCAGATTGAAAACATTTTCAATAAAAGCCAGAGTAAGAGTACCTTAAATTAAGTGAATAACAATATAACTACATATACAATTTAAGTTTAAAAACTGTGGCTCTCAAATGAACTGTTAATAACTGGTTCCGTTGACTAATGAGTTTGCCAACCACTGCTATAGTACATCTTGATTATTATTCTTATGAGATACCGGGGCATAGGAAATCAAACTTTATAAACTGCACAGAAATAGCTATAGCAATTTTATTATGATACACATGAAGCAAGAAGTAATATCATGAGATGAACACAATTCAAATTAATGAAATTATTAGACACATCCGATGACTTTCAGTCAGTCATCCATAATCTGAAATGCATATGAGAACCAAGCACTGATAATGTGTAATGTTTATTACACTCCTTTTTTTTAAAAAAAAATCTGTACAACTTCCAACATATCTTTACAAGTAATAATGGAACTAGCTTAAAACTTCACAATTTCTCATTCATTTACAACTTTAATTTTGACTACAGAATAGAAGGAAATATCAGCTTTTCTTAAAATTAGTTAAAACAATTTTTTTAATTTAATTAATGCACATGCAATGTTAATAGATACTTATCATTTGTTAAATAAACATACTGTTGCAAAACATATTAAAAACATGTCCCCATCATTCTGTTTATAAAATAGCCAGTCATACTGTACTTGATGACTTTATAGAATGATGTACTATGCACATAGAATGAGATACATTTTCTACAATTTTCCCATTTATCTCGGGTCATTCTCTGCTGGCTATATATGCATTTTCTTGATAACATTATGAGTTATTCTTAAAACCTCAAAAATTAGTGGAAGACATCATTTATGGAATATTTATAAGCAAGAACTTTCGTATGTTAAGACTGCTGTATAAGACTATTAGGAATGCAAAAATATTATGTTTTGAGGCATTATCATTGTTTATCATTCATTGATATATCCTTCAAATTCGCTTAAGGGTAATAAATAATATGCACTAGATGTATTTAAAAATGAGGCTGATTTTTTAATTCAGCAAAAATTTATAATAATGCAGCATAATGCTTTTGCTATACACATGGGTCTGAATTTTAAAAAAAATCATTTTTGACCAGAAAAAATTTTAAGATTATTTATTAAATTAGGAAGCACCAAAATGTAATAAGTATTTAATGAAACAAAATAAATTATATACTGAAATCAACACACAGATTACAATAAAGACTATAAATAAGCATTTTATGTACAAAGTATAGTTTTCAAAACACTAAGCTACACAATAAATTATGTTTAAGAAAAGAAATGTGACATTAAAGTAGGCACCAATAAACTCTCCAAATTTCTTCATAATTTTTTAGATAAATATGCTTCATTCTTCTTTATGATTTTTTGTTAAATATGTAAATAAATAAGTGTTTAATATTCTACTTTCTATATCACATTTTATTAAGAACTTTTTTTTTTTTTTTTTTTTTTTTTTTTTTTCAATCTGTAGAACATAAATGAAATAAATATGAATAGCACTTTTTCCTCATTGTCAAAATTGGACCCACTGTTTATTCAATTATTATAATATTGATTGTTGACAAAGGATAACAGATCAATGTTAATAAATATATTATGTGAAAACGGTTTGGTCTGTGAAATTTTGCTTCATCAATGGCGGAGTGGTTAAAGACTGCCAAATACCAGTAGTTCATCCTGGGTTTTAAACCAGGTAAACAAGCTGGCATAGTTGGATTCTGTGGTTTTTTTCCCCATGAGCAATGTGAATTTGAGCCAGTTTTCCTTAGAAAGTTTCCGATGATGGGGCTTTGGGCAGGTGGCTCTTGTGTGCTTTACCATACCAAAATAATTTAAGCTAACGTGAAATTTCACTCCACTTTGATAACTCTTAATGAAAACTTATTTAATTGTGTCAGCTATAGAATTCTTAAATTTTAAGATTCAACTTGCTGCCTAAAGAAAAGAAAAAAAAAAATAAAATGAAATAAAATAATTTTTAAAATTAGCTACTAAGCTATAAATTGCTTAAATGACCAGTTCACTAATTTCTGGTATTAGTTTAATTGAACCAACTCATTTTGTTAAATTTCACCACTGAATTGCATCTTTAATTCAAATCTCAAGTTTTTTTAAAAAATATTTTATTCCATGAATCTTGGACAAAACTTATCACATCAAGAACAAAAAATTTAAAGGATTCAGTTTGAGATTTTATCTTCAGATTTTTCAATATTTGCCTGACTAATATTTTCTATAATTTGTTTTAAATGATCAAATTATTCCTATATCTACAGGATGTAATTCCCTAGTACAGTCTGGTGACAAAAAAGAACTCTCGTAGTCCAATTCTTGAAACAAGGATTACTCTAACATATACGTATGCATTGTTCATATGTCACTTAAAGAAGAATCTGAAATTGTCTCACAGTCACAAAACATTGGTTAAAAAGTTCAAATATGGAAATATATAATTTGTGAAATACAGATTTATTAACAACTCAGGATTTAATTGTTAATTCACAAAAACATTAAATAAATAATAAAAACAAAATCCACATTATACATTTTAAAACACAAATTGCAATACCTTCTTCATTCTCTAAACGAGCAAATATTGCTTTTTTGGCTAACACAGGTCTGAAAAGAGAGGGGGAAAAAAGTTTCAAGTTATATGCCTCATAAAAATTAGGTAAACAGTAATATATTTATGCTTTATTTATTTGGTTATATGCATGTAAGCAGATACATTACTACAAGCCTGATTTATTAAATTTTCAATTTTAATAAAATTCAAATATTTTCCTATTAGTAAAAGATCCATCAGTAAAAACTAGTAATAAAAATAAATAACCTGGATCTTAATAAACACCATTCTATTGATTCTTATGTTTCAGAAATCATAAGAACATATGTAAATATGTTTCATTAAAAAGACGAAAAATAAACTCGAAAAATATTAATACAATTTTTTTCACTGAAATTATTTTTAGAACATAATTTTAGCTAAATTAATTCAAATTATAATTAATTGATACTTTTATCATTTGGTGCACTAATATTTTCACTTACGTTTCAGTTACAACGGCCTTTCACTTACTTTTCAGTTACAAGGGCCTTAACTAATCAAATAAGTAAAAGAAATAGAGAGAAGAAACATTGAAAACTTCTGCGGTGTGTAAAGAAAAGTTTGCTTATTTCATTCCATAAGCTGAAGTGAATTGTTTGATTACAAAATCATATCTATTTGCAATTCCCATTTCTACAATTACAAATAATGCTAGTAAATCTTAAAAAATAAATTAATTAAGTATGGTAAACTGATGCTATTATTAATAATATATTTTTAATTAATTGTACCAAGTAAAGGAAATATTGTAATCTTGAAAAATTATGGGTATGATATTTCAACAAAAATATCCATTTTGACCACTACCAAATGCAATTTAACAAAGTTTTTGTGTGACGTTTCTGTGCAGACAGAATACAGGACTCTTTTTCACAAAATGGATTCAGAAGAGATTTTTTTCATGAGGTCTATATGTAAGTATGTATGTATCTCACATAACTCCAAAACGAGTAGCCTCAGGACATTGAAATTTTGTATATAGGACTGCTATAACACGCAGCTATGCACCTTTCTTTTTGGTTCAAATCGGCCACACTAAAAGTATATAAATATATGCACACACACACACATATATACCGTGACTCCCAAAAGTGTTTGGACACTTTAAGAATTTGTAGAATAAGCGATGTAGCCCGGAATTAAATTCAAATATAAAATCCACTATTTTTTCATATCGTCTCCATGCGATTTTCAACAAAATCAAACTTTTCTTTTTTTTACTATTGACCTATTTTTTCTAAAATTGAAAATGTAAGAAGTCATAGATAAAACACGCCACAAAAGTGATCGTACACTGAAATATTTTCCTAGAAAACTGATCACTTTTCATCAGAAGGGTGGAAAATAGATCCAAGATATGGATAAATTAGTAAATTTATCCGATTTTACAGTTCAGTATGTGTAAAACATTTTAAAGATAAAAAAATCGGATCGAAAATGAAGTAGGAATACATTGTCCAGCAAAGATAATTCAACATGATCAGATATTTATAGTTAGAAAATTTGTGAAAAATTCATATTTGAGCGCTGTAAAGATTTCTACAGAATTAGGAGAAAAATTTTCTACTTCAGTTTCACCTGAAACTGTTCATTGAATACTCAGATCAGCTGGATTACATGGGCGCTCTGCTCGAAGAAAATATTTTGAAAGTGCAAAAAATAGAAAGCTTATTTTTTCCTTCACAAAATCAATAGTAAATAAGAAGAATTTGACGTATTGGAACCATGTCTTATTTGCAGATGACAGCAAATTTAATGTTGTCGGTTCCGATCGGCAAATAATTTTATGGAGAAGAAAAAATGAGGAACTTAATCTCAAGACCTTGGTTGGTACATTAAAGCATGGCGGTGGAGGTATCCTTGTGCAGGGGTACATGTAATTTAAAATTATCCTCCCAAAACTGGGGTACTGCAAACTACTTTTTTTTAAAAATCAGGATAATGATCCTAAGCACATTATTTAAGCACAAATATTTATTTATACAATTGCAAAACATATAAATTAAATAAAAATTGTAAACATTTCTGAATTTTATGCAAGAATTTAGCCATAATGAACTCAGTATGATAGCATCCAAAGAATTCCTTTCTCTTTTTATACAAAAATAATACCAACTGTTGTTGCCCATTCTTTAAGTTAAAAAATAAAATTATGTTTTTTTTTAATAAAACTGAATCTCTTTTTGCTATTAATAAAACTGAAAACAAAAAGGAACAGACTGACATAATGAAGCTACACTCTTAATGCCACTGCAGGATTTTATCATCATCATTTTAATAATATTAAAAAAATGCTATGGCTAAGAAGAACAATGTATCATATTTTAAAAGTTTATATTAATTACACTATTGGCAAAAATGTTTACAAAATACTCAGTTTTCATGACAGAAAAATATTCTGTTAGCCAATAATAAGAATAAAATCACTGTATACCAAAGCCGCAGTACAGGATTTTATCATCATCATTTTAACAATATTTAAAAAAATGCTGTGGCTAAGAAGAACAATGCATCATATTTTAAAAGATTATATTAATTGGCAAAAATGTTTCAAAATACTCAGTTTTCATGACAGAAAAATATTCTGTTAGCCAATAATAATAAAATCACTGTATACCAAAGCCACAGTATACAAGCACATATTCTAGTAATGACCATACTGCCATAAAAAATATGACAATACTAAGTATACTGCTTTTAAATAATCCATTCCATTACATAAATGCACAACATATGATTACACTTAGGAAAAGATCTTTTGTCCCATGAATTGCTAATAACTACTACAACACAGTTTTTTTTTTTTTTTTTTTTTTTAAAATATTTGAGTCGGACATAATTTTATATACATTTGAAAATATACCATGTCTTTCTAATTTTAAAACATGGAATGTCTCTCAATAAAAGAGGACTATGAATGCTATTTAAAGATGCTGAATGAAAAAATAAGAGGAATATGAGCCCAATCTAATATCAGTGAATTTAATTGCAATGTAAAATTAAAGGAAAAAAGTCTTGCCTGGATTTCTAACAAATTTTGGAACTGCTTCAATAGATTTAAACCTGTTTCCAGTACTGCTGTAACAGATTTATTGTAATGTTAATATTGTAATTTATTGTAATGTAGTTTTTGTAATAGATTTAGTAGTTGCTGCAATTAAATGCAATGGATTTAAATGCACTTCATAGACCCCTTGATTAAAAAAATATGCATACCATCCTCTACTGTACAGAAAATCTGATAAGAAGAAAATGACTGACACAGAATTCAAAATATTTAAAAATATTATTGGCTCTGTATATCATATCAACATAAATAAGTTAACTATTAAAAAAAATCTCAAAGGTTTCCAATTTTAAATTACATCCAAATGGGTGTTTTTTTAACATTTCGTGAGTTACCTTTATTTATTAAATATGACATTCGTCGCACTTAAACCATAAAATTCAGTTCAACAGCAATATTGCAAAATAATTTTAAAATGAACATATCTTTAGAATTTCTGATACAGAGTCTCACGCCCTGGAGATAAAAAATTTTTTTCTCCCATACAGTGTTGCTACTGCTTGCTCACTTTGAAATCGTTGAGTTTGCTAGTCAAAAATTCATTGAAGTGTTACAAAATATGAAATCTATAATAAAACAAATTTTTAATTCTAATTAGGGCTTCCACAAGCCCATATTCTATGGAAGATTACGTTATTCAAATTTTGATGGCTCTAAGTCCCGTTGTTTATCACAGTGCTAGAAACATACATACATTTATTCAGATTCTTCATTATTTAATTTCCTTTAAATATAATATAGGGCGATAATATTTGGTGGCAACAATTTGAAATGTGAAACAAAACTCTTCATGAATCGATACAAAATGCCAAAATGAAATTAATAGTCCTTCTGGGCAAATTGCCCCTTTTGACTAAAAAACTCCACAAACAAAAGCCATAAAAATAAACACCTCCCTAAACAGAGCCTAGACATGAAATATGTTTACATTCTAAACATAATGGCAGTTAGAAGTTAATCAAGAATTCTAAAATCCTTGCAAAGAAAATGTATTTTAAACTTACCTACAGTGAAGTGAATTGTATAACCTTACTCCATCTGTAAGGTTACAAATTTTTATACAGTCATCTTGAGACAATCTCAACATATCAAGACCTATAAAAATAAAAATTATTATTACTACACAGCTTGAGCCGATAAGTGCTTCAAAAGTAGAAGTTCATTTCAGATGCAGAAAAGCATTTCATATGATGCTCCTATAACCCCCAATAGAAAGAGTTAACAGTATGCCTCATAGAAAATTATGAAAACTTAAGTATTCGATTCCACACAACCAACATTTGTTAGTTACTCTAAAAAAATTAAATTTCTTGCATATCTGTAACTCATATAACTATAAATTGTATATTTTGTTATTCAGGTTTATAAACCTCCTAATCGTCCACTATAAAAGAGCTAAAACAAATCTTAAGTAAAGTTATTACAAATAATTCTTTGGGTTTAAAAATGCACAATAATCTGAATTTAAAAAAAAGAAAAAGAAGAAGAAAAAAGATACTTTCTTATTGTTACAGTTGTCATAACTTAACCCACTAAGTGGCATGTTTTTTTTTTTTTTTTTTCCTATTAGCTTTTATTAGCTAAATTTTTGTAAATACTTATTTTAGTCCCTGTTTTCATAAATTTCCATTCATTAAGATAATATTTCCTCAAAAAAGACAGCAAAATATTTAAAATTAACATCTGATATATACTAAGTGACTAAAAAATCTCATGACCAATTAAAGGCAGTCGAGCCATTCAGGGCTTTAAAGAGCACCAAGTGTTTTAACAAAGAAAAAGTTCAGAATTCAGAGAGAAAACATATCTACTTCTTGCATACAGTTTGTGGCTCTCATGTTTCTGCAACTGCTTTGAATGCAGCATCAAAAGCATTTTCTTGGCCCATGGACTCTCACATGTAAGCCTAAACTTAAAATTTTAAACCTATTATTCCCCTTATTAATGGACTGCACTAATTATTTGGTGACATACACTGGCATGGACTGTTTGAAGCTGGACACTGGATAAAGAAGCACACTGTCAAAAAAAAAAAAAAAAAAAAGAGAGAGAGAGAGGATTATTTCTATATCTCCCATCTCCCATTCTACGAGGCTGATTGACAAAATTGAACTTGCATTGTTCATGTATCAGAAGTGCAATTTAGAATATACATTGACTTCTTCTGAAATGACATGCCAATTTTGTTTTAATATTTTAATTCTATGATACAAATTATGCCCCCAAACCAAATTTTGTATAGTTTGGTGTGAAATTTAATCAGCAATTAGTAAATTTACTTCGCACTTTGTGCGAAGAATAACTCACTTGGCAAACCTCTCAGTTTATGGCAACCTATTTAAATTTCACTTTCATTCTGCACTAGTGGTAAAAAAAAGGATCCATTTTTTCTTTCTTGCATATTTTTACTTTATTACATTTTTTAATCACAGTTGTTACTTTTAGACATTTCATTCTTTTTAGAGAATTTTTTTACTTTTTCTTTTTCTTTTTTTTTTTTTAGAATTTCATTTTATTTATTTGAGTTGTCTGGTTGAATTATAGTTCTTTAAATAATTATTTTAAAAATTCCTGTTTATGCATTCCCACTGTGTACTTTAAAAATGTTCATTCATAATTTTTTTAAAATTTTGATTTTATTTATTTCAATAGCATTTAAAAATGTTCATTCATAATTTTTTTTTAAATTTTGATTTTATTTATTTCAATAGCATTTCTTTTGAAAGAATACTTTATCACTCAGTATTCATCCCGATGCCTTTGAAAACACATTCTGCATTAAAAGATAAAATACCATATAGCACAGTTAATATGTCTTAAAACAGGCCATTCAGAAATTATACATAAATGAAAAAGTTGGATAATTAACATTTTAATTTAGAACAATACAAACAATTTCTCATGGTTTTATCACTCTACCATTGCTTCACAATTTTATCATTCAACATTTAGTTTGTAAAAATATTATCCGTATTTTTGAATAAGTTCAAATTTTTCACTTTGTAAATTGTGAAAATCAGAGAGCATAACATAAAAAAGGACCAGATTTTATGTAAATAAATAAATAAAAATAATTTTAAAAATAAAAATTTAATGGCTTACATTTTTCTTCTTTATGGCTTACTGCTTTAATGATTTTCTGAAGGCATTTTGCATATGCATCTGTAATGATCCAACCTCCCCTATTTCATTAAAAATGTTTGGAAACCAGAGTTCTTGCTTTTATATAAGAAATCAGTGTTTTTGAGTTATCAGTAGCATGAAATATACTTTGATGTTTGGTGAATTTGTATCGTATTGCTTTCAAAATATGCAGGGTAACAATGGATAAATACTCTGCATATTCTAAAACACAAAAAACTTTTAGATTTGAACTTGCCATTTAAAAAATAAAACTCAAGTTTGCTACACGATGTGTAACAAGATTTACACTTGTAAATTAAATACATTTGTGAATAAAAATAATCATATTTTATTACAGAAATATTAATAATTTGCACAACCTCTAACTTGGAAAGAGCAGGACTAAAATAACTGCAATCATCATAAGAATCATATGTAACAAATATGTATTATATTTACATATTTGATACATATGATTCTTATGATTGTATTAAATAATATAAGTTGTATTAAATGTATGTCTTAGTTGAATATTACTTTCTTAGAAAGCTATTTGTTCTTTTAATATACATATTTCATTTAGTCTAATTCATTTTATGTGCAAAAGAATGAATTAAATTGCCAGATGTAGAACTTAATTTTCACAGTTTTACATATTATTATACATTACTTATACTGAAAATAGCATTACTTATCACACATTAAAAGTAATGATTATGTATAGTTATAAACACAACACATATAAATTAGACATCTTTTTAATGGAATATTTGAATATTCAATATCTGCTTACCATTATAATTTGTGAATGCTTGGACAAAGTCTGCAAAATTATGCTCACGTAACCAGTTTGCTGTTTCTGCAATAGTTGATTCTATTGATAATGACTTTTTCTCCTAAAATTTAAAAATTAGAAAAACTAAATAAATGTAACACAGAACAAATTTTTTTTTTTAAGTTTTAAAATTTAAACATATTATTAAAATCAGCAGGGAAGGACAGAATAATTACTTACAGGTTTTTCTAGCAATTTAATAGATGGCAGTATCAGATCATGATCCTACAAATATAGGCGAAAAAAATATGAACTAACTAAAGAAATATACTATATAGCAATATATTATTATAGCAATCCCAGTAAAATTCTATTTCCCTCATTCATTCCTAGTTAAAGTACATATGCACTATATTATAAAGAAATAATAATAATAATAATAATAAAAACATTTTAGAAATTCATTCTCAAAATGCATAAAAGAAATAAAGACTATGCACCTCTTTTACACCAACTTCTGCTGGAATTTCAGCCTTCTCATTTGTAGGAGATTTATCATGAGAATGGCTAGATCCATCTGTAAGATCTATAGATTCACTTTTACGCCTTTCAAATTTAGTGCTTCTTCTGTAAATAATATTAAATAAAGAAAGAACTACATAAAAAACATTTTAAAAAGATTGTCTTAAGAAATAAATTAATAGTTTTAAATTCAAGAAATATTTTTGAATAGTTCAAAATAAATTAATAACAAATTGGGAAAAAATGATAAATTAATTGAATGAAAACTTTTTTGGCCATAGTAGAAACAACGAATTTTAACTTAATAAATCTGTAATATAAAGAAAGCTACTATCTTCAGTTAAATGTACATAATGTTCAATTAAACTTATTTAGTTCAAATAGAATGCAGGGAATACAACACTGAGATTTAGAAAAAAGAAAAATATTACAGTCAAAATTCTTTCATCTTTTACATCAAACTGAATTTGATAAGTTTCAGTAAAATTTACTGTTAATCAGCTCTTTTCTGTATAATTTTGCATCACTCATACATTATGCATTTCCTGACATCTTATCAAATCCCGGCTAAAATATGATAATATGATTATATCTCACAAGAAAACTCTTCTAAGTTAGTTACAATAAATTTAGAGATCTTCTATTAGTTACTCATTACCATTTTTTAAAATTCCTTAGCTTTTTAATTAAATCAAATTTTTGCTTAGCATTTAAAGTTCATTAAATAAGAAATATCAATTTTAATTAATTCAAGACACAAATAGAATTCCTCAATATATAATATAGAAAATTATTTAAAAAAACATTAAATTAAAAAAAAATTTTTGTTTACTTGTTACAGTTTTAATATCATTTTTTACAACAATTTTCAATATACATACATATTTCCTTTTAAAGAAAATTTTCAGGCTGCAGCCATATTATGTTATTTTTTGTAGCTCTACTCCTGTGCACAGTTTTTAATCAAAAAGAAAGAGAAATATAATTTAATATAATAAAATATTTTCATTTATAATATTCATAACAAATATTTAATATCAATAATATTTTGCACAAGCTTAGGCTGACAGTATTATAATATAGCAAATTTTCTTTACTTGCCATTTTCTAGTTTTCAAAATTTCATTACATTAATACTTACATTGCAAAGCATTATTATAAAAGTTAGCAAACACCTATACTCGTAACACTGATTTGTACATGGCTGTATAGCTTTGTATAAATTATAATGGATTTCTGAAAAATGTGTTCCTAAAGTATACATTGCTATGAAGAACGATTTATTATATACATTAACTACATTTAATGATATTTCAAAATAAAAGGCTGTGTTTAAAATGAATTATATTTTAAGCAATATTAATACATTTCAATCTTTAGTATGATGAACTTTAGAATGTCTGGATTCTTTTGAACATTCATTCTATAAAAGTTTTATAGTGTAGTAGATCTTTGTTATAATTCTATATTCTTTGGGCACTTTGAATAAGTTTATCTGTTTCTGGTATTTTTCTTCATGCATATTCCATATTTTTAATAAGGTTCATATCAGGACTATTTCTGGACCAAGCTAGCATCTGAAGCCTTATAGACATAAAATAATATTTCAGGATCCTGTATGTATGGCAAAGAGGTACTGTCTTGCTGAAAATTTACATCTCTTTGAGGAAACCAAATATTTAGCTGTGTAAAGAGATATTTTCCCAAGATCTTATTACATTTTTGTGAATTTACATTCTTTTAATTATTTCAATGTGTCTAGTATCATAAACAGATATGCAGCTGTAAATCATTAAAGAGATACGCTGCTTCATCCTAGTTTCAATGTAACCCTTTTTGTTTACTTTCCCTTGCCTTTTATGAACATGTTGAAATTTTTCATTAAGTATTTAGATTAAAATCTCATTAAAAAAAAAAAAAAAAAAAAAAAAAAAAAAAAACCTACTTGCCAAAATTATTTTGAATACTGAAAGAAATATTTTTCAAATAGAAAGAAATAGAGTAAGATGATTTATAAAAATGAGTAAAATTAGTCTGAGTATGAAAATGAATTATACTTTGCATAAATATTTGCTCCATACCAGAGAAGTGCACGTGAGATAAGTCTAGGGCCTCAGAAAATAATTTTTTTATCATAGAAAGTGAAAGCTTACACTTATTTTATGTGTTATTTCTTGACATACCATAAAGTTTACACATTTATTTTAATTGTGCGGATGATAATCTATGGTTTTTCAGACCCATTCTTTTATAAGTTTTTGGCCTTCTAATTTAGAAGGTATATTTCTGTGCCTACATTTGCCTAAATATTTTGGAGATAAATTTTAATTTTTGCTAATTTTTTTCCCTCTTTTGATAACAGATTTAAATTTAGATACAGATTTGATAACAGATTTAGATCTTTTGATAGATTTCTCTTTTGAGTAGCCAGCCACTTTAAACAGTTTTTATAAAAAAGAAAAATATATATACAGGGTGATTCTAAATTGTTTTTTACAAATTAAGAGGGGCGATAGTACTCATCCAGATGAGCAATAATTACCATAGAACATAGGGTCGCATTCCGCTCTGAGAGGCAGAAAAGAGGAATATTAGAATTTCAACCTGAACTTATAACAGTATTGGGACAGCGAATGAACGAGACCAAAAGTTGCACAATCAGATTAGTGAAAAACTCACAGAGAGTGCACAAAATGGATAAAACTGAAAACTTGGCATTCGAGTGTTAATTTGAGCTCAGACTTTGATGGCAAACACTCAAATGCACATCTTTGGTTGGCAAACGATTGCAGCAAGTTAATTATCTAATCAAGGGCTGAATATTATTAACTAACTCCAACTTCCTCTGCATGCCAAGATCAGCATGAAAAGTTCATGTTGTGTTCTGGGTGTCAGAACTTTGTGTTTCATAAAAGGCACTTCAAGTAGAATGAGCATAGCACAATAAGTCTAGGAGGACAGGATAGAAGATGGTGAAGGGGGAAAAAACTGCTACCTTGATACTTGATATCAAGGTAGTAGTTTTTCTCCTCCAATAATTTAGAAAATTAACTTGTTGCAATCATTTGCGAAGTTGAGACCTTGCCAACAAAGATGTGCATTTGAGTGTCATCAAAGTCTGAGCTCGAATTAACTCTCGAAAGCCAAGTTTTCGGTTTTAGCTGTTTTGTGCACTCTCTGTGAGTTGTTCACTAAAGTGATTGTGCAACTTTTGGTCTCGTTCATTCATTCTCCCAACACTTTTATGAGTTCAGGTTGAATTTCTGCCTCTTTGAGTGGAATGCGACGCTATGTTCTATGGTAATTATTGCTCATCTGGATGAGTACTATCACCCCTCTCAATTTATAAAAACAATTTAGAATCTCCCTGTATAATAATTTTAATGAATCCAGGAAATGTTTCATGAGTTCAACAGAAACAGAAAAGAAGATCTGATTTCGTTTATTTTACAACTGCTTAATTTCTTAATCAATAACTGAATAAATTTGAAACAAAAATTAAATACCTTATACTTCTTACATGGCAATGCACTACCACATGGAAGATAATTCAAAAGATAAATATTCTTTTAAACTGCTGAGTTTCTTGATTAAATTTGAAACATAAATATTTGATACTTTACTGAGTGGCAACACATTGCGTTTAAATTGCTGTGATTATGCACACATTCAAGTGGAAGACTCTGCCTGTTCAAAATTAGAGGGCTCTATGTGCCACTGTTTTTCTGCAGTGAATATATACATACATACAGATTCTTCATTATTTAATAACAGAGACTTAAGTAAAACTTCCAATTTTTTTAACAACAGTTTTTCCTTTTAGCTCAGAACTTTTTAGTAATATCTTAATTTGTCCTCTTAATTTCTCACTCAGAGCTCTCTTTTTACCCATTTGAAAAAAAAATTAATGAAATAAAAATGTAAAAATAAACAACCTAAAGTTAAAACAAATATGCAAATAAATTGAACCTTCCTACAAGAATCAAAAATGCATAAAAGTTACTCAAATGAAAGTGGTGCTTAAAAATGTGCTGAGATTAAAAAAAAAAAAAAAACGTTTGCTGAATCAAAATGCAAATCATCTTTAGTAAATTATGCAAATGATGATAAAAGAAAACATCCCTTATATTTTGCTTCTCTCTCTGTATATATGTGTGCATGTGTATTAGTTTAATACTAACAGACATACTGGAAAAGGATAGCAACATGATTGAAAGACCATTAAAAGCTCCCCCAAAAAATCAATCACTGCAGAGAAGTACGGCAAATTCAGTTTATAAAAACTAAAAGATTTACAAAGGGAAGAGTGGTTGTGAAATAGAAGATATTTTGAAACATCCTTAATGTTTCAAATGCTATGTACACTAAATTTATGTAAATCAAATTTATTAACTGTCAAATATTAGCATTCACTATAGATTAAAATAACTTATATTCAAAACAATGTAGGTACAATATTAGGCAAAATATTCTTATATTTACTGATTTAATGGTCTAAAAGAAAATTATATAATTAAAATACAATAATCTTAAATACAGTTTCCTTTTCTTTTCAGAAAAATTTAAACTTGTGCTTTCAATAATTATTCTAATTATTATTAATAATCTAAGAAAATGATTTCTGTAAGCTAAAGCTAATTTACTTTTAATTACTGAACATTAAATCCTATTTTAAATTTACATATATTATTAGATCTCTTGAAATCTAATTTTCTAATAATGACTAACAAATATATCCACTTTCATGAAATCAGCCTATACGCTTTTATAATAAGAAATGATGCTTGTGGTGATTTTTAAAGAAGTGCTAATTCTGTTAAAAAAGATTTGTCTAAAATTTCTTTCTACCTCTATTTATTCATTTTAATAAATTCTGCAAAAGTAATCACTGAAAACAAAATCTCTGTTAAGTGATGATGCTTGCCCAGCTAATAGTTTTAAATGTAACTGAAGTAAACTATAGAAAATGCATCTGAAAATAACACATCCAACTGAGGCACACACGTTTTCAAAAACATAAAACTATACAATAAATACGTACTGTGAAGAAATAACTGTTTTATTCTCAGGACTTGAAACTTTTGATGAGAAACATGAACTTGAAGGTGTTGAACAAACAGGAGGTGGTGAAGATGGTATGTTATTAGATGATGGCACTGTAATGTACAGTGCATCAGGTGCACACTAACAAAAAGAAAAAAAAATATTTAAAACATTAACAGACGAAATTGCATTTAGAGAAACCAATGAAAAAACACATGAAAGGAAAACAAATTTTTATTTTCTCTTATATATCTGGAAAAATCACTTATTGCATGTCATGCATATATTTAGATATATGTATAAACAAAGTTGAGTTATACTGATGTGACCAAGCCCCAAGTTTGATGCTAGCATGAAATAATCAATAACATACAGCATGTGTCAGCAACAGATTTGATGAATATATAATGTGCTGCAGGCATTATAGGAAACTTTTTCAATTATTGGTTGTCACAAATAAAAGGAGTCATTTACCTGACTTATATAAAAGAATGATTATTGGAGTTAAAGGTTGCAGCATTTCAGAAACTTAGCAACTTGTGAAGTGTGAATAGGAAAATGGCACTATACAAAATAAATGGTATGGAAATTGCAGAGCACCATGAACCATACACGAAAGAGGTGAATGGTTCTAGCGCAGTGGTGCCCAACCTTTGGCCTCTCGCGAGCACATTTTGGCCTATCGTGAGCACATTTCCAAGACATCAACATTTTTACTAAACATATTTCCAGGCTTATGTGATACGGCTTAAATATTCATTTTGGCAAATGGTTTTGAGATGAATAATAATATTGGTTGAACTTTATGGAAATCAGAGAAGCAGAGTTCAAAATTATTTTTCAGTGCATTTAGGTTTTCCAGGTATTTCTCTGTTTCAATTGCCTTGTAGTTATTAATATGGCTTGATAAAGTCTGAAAATGGGTGAAATTTTTTCCTTTCATCTGAGTATCCACAAATTTTACTTTATCTGAAAAGCAGTTACAGTCCCAGTAAATTGAAAAAGGGTTTTTTCTTTTCCCTGGAGATCTTCATTCAGTTTGTTCAGTTTAGCTACCCATGAGAAAATACAGATCGGATAACCAATTATTATTGTCCAATTCTTTGAAACTTCTGTTTCCAGATACCAAAAACTGCTATACTGGTGAAAGAAGTTCTACAAATTGTTGAAGTACTTTTCCCCTGCTCAGTCATCTAACATTGGAATGAAGCAATAAGATTCCATGTTCACTATAAAGTTCATCAGTCAGCAATAAATTATTTTATAACGTCTTGCAAGATATCTCTTATGACTATAAATGCTTACTATATTTTAACAATTAAGAAATATAAAAGAATGGCTATTTTTAAAATATTTTTTGTTCATAGTACCTAATCGAGCTGGCAAGCCCATATAAAACGATCAGCAAGCACAAGGTTGAGCACCGCTGCTCTAGTGGTATGCATGGTCAATTGGCATGCTAAAACAGAGGAACGTACAGCCCAAATGAACCATGGGGGGATACTGTAATTGTGTTCAAAATGGTAGTTCCATGAACTTTGCTGTTTGTGGCGTTCTACAACAGAGAGATAGCAACAGCACCTATGCTAATGATTACTCATTGATTAAGAGCTTGGAATATATATGGCAGTACCAACAGTGCACTTCCATTAATTGGTATTTAGTAGCCTTCTTCAGTCTTATTTTTGTAGGGGGATGGATGAATGTTGGCGCATCTGGTGAAAAATATTAGAGAACAAACACTCTTGACTATCTGTGGATGAATGCAAGCTGTCACAGGCAATGTTATGGTCCAGGGAATGATTTCATGGCATTTTCTGGGTCCATACCATTGTGAAATGCACTACTGGATAGCATTAAGCATTTATCAATCCTTACAGACCATACATGCAGATTTTTTTTTTCTGGAAATGATAGTATCTTCCAACGTAACAATGCAACACGTGACTAGAAACGCAAGTGTGGTTTGAAGAACACGAGGAAGAATTTACTTTTTTAGCCCCACCCTCAAAACTCAATCCTATAAAAAAAAAAAAAAAAAAATCTGGGATCAACTTGCTCTGGTTGTTTACTATATGGATTTTCTGCCATGTATCCTCCAGCAGCTGTCAGTTGTGTTGCAATCAGCACAGCTCTGTATCCCCATGAACTTTTTCCAGAACCTTTTTAAGTCCCTCCCAGCCCATTTGGTCACTGTCCATGGTACACATAGAGGTTATTCTGGACTTTCACAGGCAGTTACATTAATATGACTCAATTTTTATATATGTAAAGCAAATCAATTCAATGATTTTTATGTATATATAGGCTTATAGAATATGGTCAAGAATTCAATACCATTATGCTCATATTCAATATCATGCTCAGAATAAAATAACCATTATGCTCATACTTTATTCTGACGATGTTATTTAGTTAGGATTTTTTTTCAAACTCTTATATATAGGTGTGTCTTGGATTATATTTTTATTCACAGTGTTTCAATTTTGAAATTTTGAATAGCTTTATTTCAGTACTATACATATCTTTCACATTCCAAATTACATCAATTATATTTAATATATCATTCCTACCTCAAAACATTTGGAGTATCTTAATTAGTCATTTAACAGATATTTATCACATTTGTCTAATAAATGTACTAAGTTTTCAAAAACCCAGAAAATTAGTTAAGGATTTCAGCATTCTACTTCAGATGACATATAAGCTTGCAGCGATAACAAAATAAAATGAAATATTATGAGTTGTAAATGATTACTGATAAATGTACTCTTTTAAACTTGAGATTATACTACAGTTACAGTTAACATTAACTTGTTTCTCTGTAACTGCTTTATTATTCATAAAGCAATTTTACAATATGCAAAATATTTTATTTTCAAGTATTTATATGTTATGTTTTGAAATGTTAAAATTAAGAATTAATCACAAATATAGAATTAAAAAAATATCTATTATAAATGCTCTATGCAAATATAAACACTAAACTTTTGCTTAAAGAGACCTCTTAATTAGAGACAGATTTTATGGTTCCTAAAACTTTAATATAGCAATTTCATTATTTATTCTTATAAAGACATTCTCAGATAATGGGGCAAGGACTACAAAAGGATCTTACATTTCAAGAATTTTAACCACTTTGTTGAGATGTCAAGTTCTGATACTCTTGTTTTATCAACTTGACTTTTCTATATTTTATACCTAGTTTTTTATCATTTACTTTATCATATTTTAACAGTTAAACCCTTTTAATTTAATTTCCATGGTCAAATGATCATCCTTGAGCATGGATGATCTTGACCTAATTCTCAAATATAACAGCTTATGCATTCTTCCTTTCCCTTTTAACAATATAAAAATGAATGCGGGTAACTTGAATTTTAGATACCATTTCAAAAAACAGTTCAACTTGTTCATTTCTTTAACAGTGGGTTGTTTATCTATTTTTACATTTTAGCTTAAATTTTTAGTTTAAAAAATTTTTTTCATAAAGAGTAGATACAGAATCAAATACTCTCAGAGAAAAAATGAATATTATTGAAATGGCCAACAACAAACATCACAGCATAAGGATACTTGTAATAATATTTGGTGTCAGCAAAATTTAAATTGGACATCTTTTACAGTGAAGGGGGGGGGACTGATAGAATGGTGAATGAAAAGTGAAATGGGAATGAAAAAAGAAAAATAATAATTTCCTAATGCAGAAGTTCAGCAATTGATCAAGTAGTGTATGAATGGCAAAAGAATAAAAACTATTCCAATTTTCTGGATTTCAAGAAAAGTTTTATGAAGCTGCTTTAGAACTTGAGTACCAAAATTTTCACATAGTGGATGACTTGAAAAATTCAGTGTATATTGAATAAAAGCCTTCTGCTGAATCTGCAGATAACAAAGTTGAAACATATCAAAATTAGACACAAAGAACTGGTTCATTGATAAGGATATTTTGAAAAAGACATTTATGATAATGATGATGCAGCTGAATTCTTTCATGCACTTGAGAAAAACTACTTTGTTTTTTAAAAAAAATTTAAAGGTGGTAAATTTTCCAAACAATGATTAATTGTACTACATTGTGTTAATGTGGCTGCAGAAAATGAGCAACCATCTGTGATTGGAAAAACATACTGACCTCTCTGTTTAGAGAATTATAACTTATCTAAAGTCCCAGTTCATTGGAGATTTAATTATAAAGCATAGGCAACTAAAGAGATATTTAAATAAAAAGCACTATGGCTTAAATGGCAAATTAAACAAATTTTAATGGTAAAAATTTTTTTCCTTCACTGTGAAAGAAACAAAAAAAAAAAGGGGGGGAAGCGTGATGTAGTTTCTTGTTAAGTAGAACTTTCATGTCTACCCCCCAAAAAAAACTTACATCTGGTTTAATGTCTTATTTTTATTTTTATTTTATTTTATTTTATTTATTTATTTATTTTTTGAAAAATAACTGTTGAAAAGGCTGATAATTTTTTTGAAAATTAAGTGTTTGATATGTTCACATTTGTAAGTTATAACATAAGACATTTAAACTTAACTGTTCTATGTATGTTACTATGTTACTGTTCTATTTATAACTTAAATAAAATGTGCATCAATTTGAAATGGTGTATATAAATAAAAAGAATGGATACAGTCTACTTAAGGATTTATTAATATATGTGTATCTGTGAGCTGTCTATGACATGATAGCATTAGTATTTAATGCCAGAGGACTACGACGGCTTTAGGCTTATAGCCAAAGAATTACGAGAAACTGTACCTGAAAAAGCAACAGTTTTTAAATTAACTGTGTTGAACAATAAACATTAACAAACAGATATTGAACATGTGAAAGCATTAATAAATACAATAATTGAATACAGTAAAAATAAGGAGCAGAGTTTACTTAATTTAAAGCAGGTTAAGCTAAAAAGAGTAATAGCAGAAATATAGCTTGCCAAATTACGAGTAGAAATGAAAGCAGAAAATCAAAATGAGAGTGATCTAGAAATTCATATTTCTTCAGATTCCTTAGTGAAAAGTTTAAGAACTTTAACTATAAATGTGCCTACTAGGCCCTAAGGCTGGGCTTTTTTCTTTTCTTCATTAGAAAAGACTTTTGTCTCAGAAACTGTCCCTGATGAATATAAATTGGCAAATTGGCAATTCTATTAACTTTATTAGGTGAAACAGCATCTAATGTAATCACTTATATGAAAGATGACTAGTTGAATAATTATAAAAAAGTGAAATCTATTATATTATGAGAATCTCAGTCCTCTCCTCAAACACAATTAGAAAAATTTAGAAAGGCAACACATCACCAAAACAAAATTTTTACACAATTTGCTTCACATTTAATTACAAGTTGGAATTAGTACTTAAATCTATGAAAAGTGTCAGATTTTGAATCATTAAATGATCTTATTATATCGGATAAAATATTTTCTACTCTCGAAAAAGAAGTAGCATCATACATTGGTATTCGACAAGCACAGAAATGTTTTTGCCTATCTGAATTACCGAAAGAAATAGATCTTTATTATACTTCATGTGGAAAAATTCTTAAAAAACAGTTCCAATTCATATTGCAAAGGCTATCAAGAGAAAAAAGTACCAAAAGCATTTTTATAGATGTTAAAAGTGCAAAATGTGCTATCTGCAACCTAACTCATGCTTTGCATCAGTACCACAATTAAAGAAGTTACCTATAAATAATAGAGTATAAATAGTTAAGAAACATAATTTGTGTTTTAAATGCTTAACATTAAATCCTTTTGTTAAAAACAACAAATAAAAAATTTCATGTTTTGCTCCATTTTATTGGAAAATAAATCATCATTGAAAGAGTATGAAAAAATAAAAACAAAACAGTAGCTGAAAAAAAAAAAAAAAGCAGTTCCAGTGTACTCTCTCTCCTAATGCCAGACTTTCTGCCTAACAGTGGTAAGGGTCCATTTGCAGCAACAAGTGTAAACAAATCAAGGAATTTTCTTTTAAGTACCATGATCTGCTTTATCAATGACGGTACAGGAAAATTATATCCAGTCAAAAATTGTTAGATGTTGGCAGCAATATGTGTTTCACAAGCAGAGAATGTGCGAGTAGATTCCAATTGAAGATAGGTTTTTTTTTTTTTTTTTTTAGGTTTAGGTTTGGCTTTACAAAGTTTATACTTTTCAGTAGTATAAAAAATCATGCAAGATTTGAATCCTTCAAGAAAAACTGACATTAAAATGCATGATTTTTGTAATATAAAATTAGCTGATGAGAATTTTAACATACCAGAATATATCGAAATGCTTTTAGAGGCAGACGTTTTCTTTAAAATATTATAACCGAAACAGATTCGTTATGAAAATAAGTCTTAGTTTGAAGAATAGCGTATATGGGTTTATTGTATCAGGTAGTGTTACACCAGAAGAACATAACCACATACATTGTGAGTTAATGAAAAGAATAGACGATGTAGAACAAGCAATGAGAAAGTTTTGGAAGGTAAAAGAGGCTAATTTACTACCATGTAAATAGGCATTGGGAAGAATAGCTGATTTTTATCTTGGGAAAGATAAAAAAGTACGAGTTGTGGAAATAAAGACTTCTACAGTAAGTTTCAAGAAGCCTATAATCAAATTATATATTTTACCCTTTAATTATTAATACAGTTGTTTTATTATGTGTGTGCTTATAATTGTGCATGGCATTCATTATCCTTGTGAAGTTTATTGTATAACTAGTTTATTTTTATGGTTAAAAAACTTGGAATTTGTGAATAGTTAACCTTTATGTAACTCATAAAAAAATTTGTTGGCGCATGTTAGGGTGTAACTGCATAATGAAAAGCTGTGTATGCACCTCTCTGCTCAGAGTTTTTGTGAAAAGACTGAGTATGACATGAATAGACAGAGAGAGTGCATGCTAAGTAAAATCGAGGATCATAGAGAGCGACTGGCTTTGCCGTTTTTTTATCACATATATGAGGTACCAACATTTTCAATGCAGGAACTATTAACTTTTCCACAACTGTATGATGATTTTATTTTAGCAATTTTAGGGTATTTCATAAGAAGCCATTACTAGATTTTCAAACAAAACTTGAAATAAATTCAATCTGTTTGGCAGCTATTAATTCCTTCTTTGCATTTATATTAAAAAAAAAAAAGTATTGGCTTGTTATTGTTTTTCGCATGCTTTAATTCTTAGTACCTCTTCAATTTTGAAGTCTCATGTACCTATCTGATAAGGGTGTAAAAAAAATAACAACACACAACTGTTTTTTATCAACACCTTTCATGAAACCAGATTTTATATAATTATCAGAATACTGTTGAATCCAGGATGTTTTCTTTTTTTCACAGGTAATAAACAATACCTCTTTAGACCATTTGTCAGTACCATTCTCGGAAATCATGCTGAGCTGAACATTACTTAACTGTTTATTATTAGTGTTAACAACAATTAATTGTTCTTCTCTGGACATCATTTGATTGTTTATAAATAGCACATTATTATTTGTTGCTTTATTAAGCATTTATTCATTGATAATACAATAAATAATTGTATATATAAGTATAAAAAATGTATGCAGTATCTGCATTAATAACCAACAAATAATGTCAGTGCAAATTAACCTATGTCACCACCATAAAGTGCCTGGAATATAACAGTAGATCCTACCAATGCTTTCTCACTTCAGCAATTTTCATACAAAAATAATAATTGGGTTTGCTGCCCTACTCAAATCAAGTTTCAATGTTGTTGAAGATAACATTAAAATGAAACTAAAACTAAGAAACAAATTAATAAGCAATATGCTTCATTTTCATAGATAATCTATGAAGACATTTAATTACTAAGGCTTGATGTCATCTGTTGACAAACTATATAGTTTCACATTGCTTTAAGGTTAGTAATTAAGTTTATCTTCGACCCAGTGTTTTGCTTTTATGACCAAGTCTCATGACTCGGCATTTGTGAAATACTATTTTACTGGATGTTTGTCAAATCTGGTGATAAGCATAATAAATTAATCTTTTTATACAGTCATACAGCACATAAATCTACATTTTGCAAACAAAATTTAAAAGTTGATACACATAAAATGATACAAATACTAAAATGATGTTTCTCAATAAAATTTCAAAATCACATTGTCGCAAGTGAAAACTAAATTTGAAAGAATAAAAATTTAAAGCTCACAGTTTTTATGCTTAAAATATAAATTCTCTTAAAAGAGCTTTCTAGAAAACTTATATTTTCATTTAATCTACGATGAATAAAAAAACTAACCTCAGAAAATACTGTACAGTCATAAGACGTTTTGTATTTGTCCTGAAAAAGAACGAGATAATCAATTTATTTGATAAAAATATCAGATGAAAAATGAAAAATGTTAAAGATTTTTAATACAGTTTTTCAAAAAAGAAACATTAATGCAATTTTTTTCATTCCTATTTAATCCACAATTGTTTCACTATTGTTCACTTCTCTTGATGGAAGATAAAAGCTTTATAATACTGATTTAAACAAACCTGTTCTGCTTGAGGTCTTTTGCTCATCTTTTCTCTGTCTGTTTTATGCTTTCTATCTGCACCTTTTGGCTATAATATAAAAAGATAAAAACATTAATTACCCTTTTACAAAATTTTTAAAAATAATATTAATTACCCTTTTTACACTAACAACATGATGTTTGAATTAATTATTTTACAGCTTTTATCTTTTCATGGGAAAATTTTATAAACACATTATAATTTAAATAAATTTACTACAGTACAAAGTCTTTAATCCGGACGTCCGTAATCCAGAATGATCTATAATCTGGACATCAAAGCTACAAACTTTCTGCGCATGCGTAGCACTTATGCATGTGCATAATACCTTTATGCATGCGCATATGCATTTATGCATGCGTATAATATGTTTATGCATGCACGTTTAATGTATAACGGATAGTATAAGCTAGGCTAAAATTATCTAATTATCTATTTCAGTTAATGTTGTAGATTGTGTTGTTCCTTAATCTTCTAATTGGATCCAGTTTATTAATTTTTACAGACTGTTAGAGCAATTTTATAAAAAGCAAGCTTGAACTTTCGATTATGTCAAAAAGAGTTTCCGATTCTGGAGCTACCAAAGGATTTACAAAGCAAAAGTATGTTTCGATGTCCATCAAACAAAAAGTGGAATTGCTGCAAAAAATGGATAAAGGCATGAAGAAAGTGACAGAGAGGTTAGCGAAAATGAAAAAATTTCGATTGACAAGTTAGTCGGTATTCTCGGCACAGTAATTACAGGACTTGAACAGCGGAACTTTGTAACTGAACAAGAAATTATGTCCGTTTATAGAATTAAAGAGAAAGTATTAGCACATAAAACGAAGTAACTTAAACAATTTACATTGAAAGAAATATTTAATAAAGTAAACAAAATAATATATAAGCTTTTTTTTGTTGAAAATTTTGATACCCTTTAGATCATAATTGCTCTTTATTTCATAAATTACGGTTTCATATTTTTAATTTTATAAGTTCTGCATGCCATCTTACCAGATTTAAATTGATGATCTATAATCCGCGAAACCTCTAATCCGGAATCGCCAAAGTCCCGACGAGTTCGGATTAAAGACTTTGTACTGTATTATACAGAAATTCAATTCACATGATTGGTAAGTTTCAAAATATAAAAAAGAATTTAATTCTCTTTAAAAAATATAACCATTAAATGGTTATTATTTTATGGCAATTTAAAATTGCTATACCACAGGATTAAATAGTTTCAAAATAGCAATAAAAACCTCCTTAAAAATGTATATTATAATCCACTCGTGAAGATTCTGAGTAAACAGTTAAAAGATAATAAATAAAGTAGCATTCAGCCTCTTATGTATTTCAATAAGCTCTCTGTTTATTTATATTATTTATACATTAACAGATGAGTTTCATGTTTTCATTTTCCCATATTTCATTCTTCACACTACTATTTGAGTAACATCAAATTTCTCTGTTTTAATTCAACTTAAATATACATGTTGATGGTTAAAATGTAATTTATTATGCAGTATTTCATGGGCTGTATATAACAAGTGTGTATCATGATTAACACTATAGAAAGGTTTTTCTAAAATTTATAGGGGTACTGATTTAAATTCTTCTACCATTAATTTCCAGAGTCAATCAATAATGATGGATTTGTGCTTGAAAAGACCTCTTTTCAAGAAATTAAAGGCAGAATGCCCAAAGGTGAAATGTCAGGGGACTTTGTAGGAACACACTGAAAAGGTATATATGCAGTATCTGTATTGGTCTACATTATTCAAGGAATGAACTGGTATGTTTCAAAGTATGATTTGCTGCTTATCTTGAATGAAGTTTCACTCTGGAAGTCATTGGGATAAAGAAATGGAATTTCTTCTGTACATTTTGGATGTAAACCTTCTCTTGATGGATGCTGAAATGATTTTAACATTCCCCCTCCACTCTTCTTACTCCTAATATCCCATAAGAGAAACTTGCAACAATCATAAACATAAAACCAGGTTTGTACACATTTTTCTCTTCGTTTTTTGTTGCAGTCATTTAGATAAACCCATGATTTATCAAAAGTCACAATGTTTTCCATTTATCTCCCACTAAACAGATTTCATACAGGCTTTCACAAATTGTTCTGCAATGAGTCACATGCCTCAATCAAAAGCTGGTTATGTTCCTTAGCTTTTTTAAGTTGTAAATCTTGGTTTATTAACTGTTGCTACAGATGTATTTAAAGACTCTGCAAATGATATCTGCATCAGCAGATTTTGTTTGATAACCAATGATTTAAGTTTAGGAAACATTAGAAACACTATATATAAACATTAGAAACACTAATGTTTATATATAGTGTTGCACTTTTTCTGAGCATTCATTTGGAGTCTTTTCACGTAGAAGTAATGATTGACGGTTTTTCGAGTTAATAGTGTTGCATATTTTGCACTTAGAAATGTTAATTCCATGAATTCACAATGTTTTTGAAATATGAAATAGGAATATTTCTCTCTCGAAAGTACAAAAACATATCTTTCAATCCACAGCTTGTTTACACTCAATATTTTGAAAGAAGAATAAATTCAGAAGTAGCAGACGATATCTCTCAATTCAATAAGCTGTTATCAGAAATTTTTATTCCTATACATATGCTTTTTAAATTTTTTTTTCAAAATCATTCTAAAAATGTGAAAATACTCCATACATCAATAACGAAATGTTTGTGTGATGATCTGTAATCATCCTCACAATATATTCAGAATGAAATACTTTTTCCTCATTTAGAAATGGGTGTCTAGTTTTAAACTAGATTATTGATATAATTTTCATCAGCACTGGAAATGATATGCTTCTTAGATGAAATTTCTTCATCATCAAAGCTAATAAACAATTAAACAAAGCTAAGAAAAAAAGTTTCTGAAATTAAGGAGGGGAACGTGTAACTGCTATCTGAATACTAAAAATAACTTTGTAATAGCTGCTTTCCAGAAATTTATGCCAAAATACTAAGCTGATAAAAAAAAAAATATATCAAAGTAATGGTAGTTTCTTTTATTATTCCTTCTCTTCTTTACATCAGATTGTACAAATGTAAGTACAAAATAAATACCTTCAGCTTTTCAAATTAAAATAAAATTACATATGTAAAAATAAAATTACATATGTAAAAATAAAATTACATATGTGACAATATAACTATGTATTATACAATAATACATAAAATAAAAAATAATAATTATGTCATTAAAACAACATCTTTTATATATTTAAATACTATCAAAATATGCATTTATCTTTGTAGTACCTTAAAAACTTTCACTTGACAGGAAGCAACATGAACTCTTTGCGTATAATTCTCAGCATATGAAAATGTTTCAATTTGTATTCGAAAAGGAGCTCCTTTTTCCCCACCATGCTTTTTGGGGGTGAATTCTGTACTAATACAATTCAACTAAAAGGATGAAAAGTAACTTTAAACAAAAATTTATACATAACATTGTTGAATTAAAATCAAACATGAAATAGCTGACTTATGACATACTGAAGAAAGTTCGTATTACTTTTAACCCCTAACAGGGAAGGTGAAAAAGTTGAACATAACAGGGGACGTGCGGTCTCAGAGACCGCACATTATAACAAATTTTTAAAAATCATCTAATTAAAATATCATCATGATATTTCACTTAGATGTTCTTTGAACATTTTACTCTGAAAAGAAAATATGTCTTTACACTTTAAAGTGAAATTAAATTTTTCCCAGAAAATTTCCCCATAGCCTTAAATTTTTTGATGAAAATCATATGCTGCACTAAATTCTGTAAAACAAAAACTAAGAATGCATCTATTTTGAATTAACTATTTTATCTATATTATTTAATATTTAAAGCAAATTTTAACCGGAGAAAATTGTATGTGTAGCACAATACAGAAAAATTTTGACAGTAACTGAAATATCAGTATCTCACTGATTTTCTGATAGTAAACAATTTAGTTTTCGTCTTCTTTAACACATTCATTGCATAACTTTTTGCATTGCATTCCAAACAAACAGGGTCTTGGCAAAGATAAACATAAATATGCTGTCTTTCTTTTCTTGCTTGGGGGGGGCACAGACGACATGCTTTTCCTTGATTTTAATTTTGCTTCTTTTGTGCACTGCTCCACATCCTTAGACTCAGCTTCTTTTGTGCACTGCTTCACATCCTTAGACTCAGCTTCTTTTCCTAAAATCCGCTTTATCGTCAGGCGCAATTCTCGTTTTATTCTTGGATTTTTCACTCTCGTGTGTAGTAGTGGTTGGACTAATTCTCTCGCTAATTCTTTCAAAAACACCATTCTGGTCATAACAGGGTTTTGGTTATAACCTTGGTGCAAAATGTATGCGTTTACTGTACTCATATCTACTAAACGGTATAGAAAGAGAGCCATAGGCCAAACGCGTTGTTCTCCTACTACAGGAATGGACAGAACATTTTTCATCTAAAAGCATCAACACCACCTTTGGTTCTGTTATAAAAACAATTATTTCAGGTTTCTGTGTTTCCGAGTCTGTTTCTATCGAATGATGCAATGATGACATCAAAACCACTGCTCGCCTTTTCTTTGGAACAAATGAAATCAAGGTTATGTCCTTAGTAAATCCATACAATGTTGAATTCTCTTTTCTTGACTTACATGGAAGAAAAAAATCTTTCGGAATTTCTTTTTTATTTTTTTTAAATAGTTCCAACGTATGTCAGTCCATTTTTCAACAATCTGTGGTAAGTTCTATGGAAGAAAACCAATTGTCTGCTGTTACATTCCTGTTCGTATTAAAAATTGGTTTGCTCAAACGCAGAACAGCTTGACTTGGTTTGCTGAATTTTTTCCAACTCTCTTCTACGCTAATTCCATCAGAGTCTTTTCCACAATAAAGATATGCATTGTAAGCATAATTATTCCGGGCATCAGTCAAAACACATAACTTTTAATCCATATTTCACAAGGGCTTTTGGGGCATATATACATTTTAAAGCGACACTTTCCTCTGAATCCAACAAGCATTTCATCAATGCAGATGCAAGTGCCTAATGTGTACGCTTTCTGGGAGTTATAAATGAATAAATTCATCACTTCAGAAATAAGTGCTGCCGGATCAGATTTCTTTCGTTCTTCCCTATCATCTGGGTTATCAAATCGCAAATTTGAAAGTAAAAATTTAAAACGTTTCATTGACATAACTGCACGAAAAATATTGCGGCTAGTTCCATCCGTGGCAAATAAACATTCGATATCTTCATGATTGGATTTGAAGACTGATGTGTAAATAAGTAAACCCAAAAGAGCTCTCAGTTCATCAACACAGGTGTAGTCAATTTCACCTTTAATTGGACCACATATATTTTTTATTTTTCTTTCAATTATTAGATTTGTCCATTTCACAATTATGTTTAAAAGTTCATCAGTAAAAAGTAGTTGCCATACATTTTTTGGATCTGAATTATCAATTTTTCCATACGGTCTTAGTCCAGGAAGTCTTACGATATTGTGAGCTGGCCTTCTGACTTTTCAATTTGGTTCAACAGATGACCATTTGAACGGATTTTTCCATAGTAGTATTTTACAGAATTAGTTGTTTCTAGATTAGAGAAATCATTGCTGTCTGCAGAAAATTCAGAGTCTGTTGAGTGGGCACTTTCACAGAAATTTTCTTCACAGTCATCTTCTTCACTAAAATCACTTCCATCTTCGTCTAGAATTTTTTTCAATTCTTCTGCATAACACGGATCAGAAGGATAAATGAATCTCCACGGACCTAACGTTAGAGCCATGTGTTCACTACTGCTGAAAATTGTAACACTGAGAGGAAGGTGAGGTTTCACAGACCGCTCTAGAAGAATTTCAACAGATACACTTGCCAAAGCATTCCGATAAGAAGGGGTCAGAAAGAAGGTCACGAAACGTGAAGCTAGGGAAAGAATCCATTCAATTGGACAAAGCATGCAATAAGAATGATGGGAGGAACATGTGGCGCGGTCCGTCAGACCGCACGTCAACTGTTACGGGTTAACGTAGGTTTAACAATAAATATAATATACTTGACAATAAATAATGTTTATATTTAATAATATGTTAATATACACTGGTGTGAAAAAATTAAGGACTAAGTCGAAAAATTAGCATATCAGCTGAACGAAGAGGCAGAGCAGACAGAAAGACCAATCAGGAGATTAAGTAAGGTGATGTACGGTAGCACATGCACAGATATGCAGGTAGACATAATGGGGGAGTGTCTGAGTAGTATAAAGCATGTTGTCGGTGTAAGATCAGCATTTCTGGCAAAGAGATTGCACGCCGTATAGCAGTTAAAATCACACCGAGTTTCTGCCTCAGCGAGAAATGGCGAATAATCAATCTGTTAGACGACATCTGGATGCTTTTACCCGAGGTCGAATCATTGGGAAGTTGGAGGAAGGCCGCAGTGTGACAAGTGTGGCTGCAGAGTTCGGAATTGCTCACAGCATCGTTTCACGACTTTGGAGACAATTTCACAAACTACAGGAAGAGCTATCCGGGGGTTTAGCAGTGGTTGTCCACGAGGAACCATACCCGCAGATGACCGGTATATTGCCTTACAGGCCAGAAGAAACAGGCGGCAGACAGCGGGAGAAATCGCTAGACACACGACACAGGCGACTGGACGACCGATATCGCTTTTTACCGTGGCCAGAAGACTGCACGGTGGTGGTCTGTTTGCACGACGCCCTGTACGGTGTGTACCTCTAACGCCTGCCCATCGAAGAAGGCGTTCTCTGTGGTGCCGGGAACACCGGAATTGGAGAGACAGTGAGTGGGGACGAGTATTCTTTACAGATGAGAGCAGATTCAGTCTGAGTAGCGATTCTCATCGCATACACATCTGGAGTGAGTGGGGAAGCCGCAATTATCCCTCGAACATCATTGAAAGGGACAGGTATGGAAGTGGCAGTGTTCTTGTTTGGGGAGGCATCATGCTTGGTAGTCGTACAGACCTTCACATCTTTGACACAGGTTCAGTCAACGGGACCCGTTATTGTAACGAGATTCTTCTTCCACATGTGCGTCTTTTTAGAGGTGCTATGGGTCCGCAGTTCCTTTTCATGGACGACAATGCACCATGTCATCGCACAGTAGCTGCCAAACAGCTCTTACGGTGAGGATATTGAACGTATGGATTGGCCGGCACGATCTCCGGATCTCAATCCCATCGAGCATGTATGGGATTTTATAGGCAGATGCTTGGCAGCTCGTACCTTACCACCAGTAACGATTTCGGAGCTTCGATTGGCGCTGCAAGACGAATGGACAGCAATGCCTCAACAACTCATTGACACCCTCATTCTCAGCATGGGCAGAAGCTGTGAAACCTGCCTAGCAGTCAGGGGAGATCATATCCCCTATTAAAGACCAGATGTTTCTTGCTGGACACCCATCACAGGGATGTTTCGGCCTTCAGTCGCATTGCGCTCCATGCTACTTTTTCAATAAAGCTTCTTTTTATCCCTCTGATTTCTCTTTTAGTAAGTGTTTAGTAAGTGTTGCTTACATTACTCATGTCCTTACGTATTGGGGATCTTACAGTATTAAATGTGTTGATTTGGAAAGCTTTTGTACAAAGTTATATTGAAAAAACCATCTCGTCCTTAATTTTTGCACACCAGTGTATACTTGCATTTTAAAAACTTGATATATTTTAAGTATCATTATCAATTCAAATATATGAACTAAATTACTAAATTATGAACCCAAACATACACGAATAAAAACACCTGTTTCATTTGTTGGATCCCACAGAAATTCACATATATGAATATTATTTGGATCATTTGGAACCTCATATACACCATATGACAAAGGAATATCTGTAAATAAACAAAAAAAAAAAAAAAAAAAAAAAAAAAAAAAATTAAATACTTTTATTTAAATATTATGAATATGATTAGTAATAACATATTTTGCCTGGAAAATGAATTTATCTGATTTTATGCACTTTTCTTTAGTTAAAAATACCCCTCAAAAGGAAATCATACTACCTCAATTCATACCCTTAAAAAAGGAAATACTAAAAATTTGACTTAATTTTGAACAGTATTTTTCAATATTCACTAACTACCCAATTTTAGTATACATTCATAGTATGGCAATTAAGTAATCAGATTGTATTAAAAAAACAAAAATATTTCAGCGTTTACACTGACTCAACTTTCTTTTTTAGTGCAAATATGACAGGTAATTAAAGAGAAGACTTATAGAGGATTGTTTTGGGCATGAGTAGAATGCCACATTACTATTATCTCTTCTGTGTCAGCAAAAACGTTTCTTTGAAAGAATACTTAACTTTCAAAGAAGTGAAAATAATCACAAGCAGACAAATCTGGAGAAAACGTGGGTACACATACTTATTTTGAGGCTCTGCAAAAGCGGTTACTGGCCAATGGAAAAAATGCATTAGCGTGCAATAGAACACATTTGCACTAATGATTTCTGAAAATATAACACAAGTTTAAAAATGGTCTGCTTAATTCTTGGTCATTTAAAGTCTCTTAGCCAAACATTTAAAACTGCAGAATTACTCTGAAATCTCAGCTTGTAAAATACACCTGTCACTTAACACTTGTTTAATCTTTTCTGGGTGAATAACGCACAGAGATAATCGACCTCTAATATTCTCATTAACTTCTAAGAACCCTAAGTGAGTAAAATAATAGCAAATGTAACCGTATATTCCATTTAGATTATGGCTTGGTAGCTTAAAAACTAACACATAACAAAACTCTGCTTTTTTGTGTCTGAGAATATAGCATTATTTTAAATATTTGCAAATCAAATAGTAAATTAGAACCTGGCTGTTAACTTAAGTAGTTCTACCCGTTTCCAAGCAGTTAAATACTGCTAAATGCTGGTAATTTGTCCTGTAGTCCAACCTAGACAAATGAGATGGTTGAATGGCTGGTTTTTGTGATTTCCCCCACATGTAATTTGAATACAAGACACTTTCCCTTAAAAACTCTCCATGAAGGCATTTATCTCCTTAAACCTTATATGCTTTGACATATTTTAATAACAATCAACCTAATTTGTGCATGTTTTCTAAACTAGCAAAATAAAAAAAAACTCGCTGAAAACAAGTGTAGGTATCGAATTGGGAGGTATTCGAGAGATACAGCGCCAATGGTTGAACTGCCAATATTCTTTTTCTAAACTTATATTGTAATTCATTAGTTAAACTCACTTAATTTGTACTTTTTCATGGAGTTGATGGGAAGCGTAGAAGTGCAGGCATTAAAATTTTGATTAATGTAAAATTAGCAACATGGGCACAGAAAAGAACAACATTTAAAATTTAAATTCATTTTTAAAGAAGAATTTTAATAAATTTTAATATAAATGGAACAGGAATAATAATAGCTTAAAAATAAATGCAATAGTAATAAACATTTATTATACGACTAATAAGTAAAATTTTGGTCTAAAAATACATCCTAAATTAAAATTTTAACCACACACTGAAAATATTCTACATACGGAAATACATTTTACGATAAAAAATACGTTTAGTTTTCTTTTTTTTTCCTTCTTAGATTTATTTAATAAAGATCATTCCCTCACTGGCAATTGAATTGAGAATAGCTGTCGATAATTTTTACCTAAAGCTTTGAACTTCTGTAGTTTGACTAATTGCCATAGGATTGCCATAGGATTGAATGCTTATATGCTACTGAAAATATACTGTGCTTTGGAAGGGGAAAAGGTTTTTGATGATAAAATTAGCAGTTTTTCAAACATAAAAAATAGTTCATTTAAGAATATATTACACAGTTAATGCCACCATTTCAGAATAATTTTCATTTGCTGCAGAGAAAAGGAGATACAAATCTTGTATTCTAGTAAATTTTGCCACTGTTAAACAATTCTGTTGTAGAAGACAGCATGATTTTTTTTTTTTTTTTATAATTTTTCTGGTGTATTGTTTGATGTACTCAGACCTGAATATATACAGGATGCACCGTTTTGAAATTTGCGAACAAATCTTGCTAAATATAAAATGAAGTTAAATAAAACAGCAGACAATAAAATGACAAAGGCAATGAAAGAAACAAAAACTTTAAACTTCTGATTAATAGTATTTATAAATGTAAAAAACAGCTTTACATATATTATTAATATATATTTATTACACATTACCAATAAAAATGAAAATAAATTTCATATGAATTATTCTCAGTAAAATTTTATTTAGAAATTTAAGATTAAAAAAAAATGTTGCAATCCACTGAAGATTGTAACACAGTGCATAGACCATATTTCATATTATTTTCAGTTATAAAAAATATGCCAAATTTCAGAATGAGCCAATATATAAATTCACATATATTTTTGGAAATTCTGAATAAAAAAAACTCTGATTTTATGCACTTTAAGAAGATGGTAAAATTTTTATGGTTCAAAATTTAAAAGACTGTTTAATAATGTAAATTTTAAAAATAAATCAGAAAAAATGAATGAATTTTATTTCAACTGAACCTTAATTTTGAATTATGAAAAAAGAAATCAAGTAAGTTTCATTTAAAAAAGAATATTATTAAATATATGCTAAAATCAATTAACATTGTGAGGTTAAAATTTTGAGTGTTAATTAAAAAAAAAAAAAGTGGCTGCAATTTTTACAAAACTTTGCACTTTGACATAATTTGAGGTGTAAAATCAAAATACAGGAAAAAATTGGCATCCCATTTTAGAAAAAAAAAAAAAAAAAAAAAAAAAGATTTTGTGTTAAAACAATCTATACATAACTCTAATATATATCCCACATCATGCTTTTAAGACATGAAACACACAAAGTTGAATTTTGTTGATTAGCCGATTAAAATGGGAGATATAAAACTGTATCCATTTTTTTTTGACTCAGTGTGTATCTGTATTTAGGAGTGTATTAAGGAATTTGAGATTAAATTTAAAATAAAAGGTATGATTAAGAAATAAAATTCTATGAAGATTTTGCCCTACAATAAATTTTTCATGCTTATCAAGAAAGCATTTAAGGCATATACTCAGTGTGAAAATGAGTTAGTCCAAGAACTAGCAGAAACTGCAAAGATTATACAACCTTCAAAATCATAATTGTTACAACTGATAACTAAATTTAGTTTTATTTAGATTACTGCACTTTATCATTCTTGCCATCTTAATCAGAAATGGCAGAACCATATGTACATTTAGTTTTATTTAGATTACTGCACTTCATTTATCATTCTTGCCATCTTAATAAGAAATGGCAACACCATATGTACAAAGTTTTTTTTTAAGTGAAAAAGTTTTAATCCAAAGAAAATTTATCAAACTGAAATTGAAAGAATAAGAAATGAAAGTGTGCAAGTTTTTTTCCCTATAAATTTATACTTTCTTTTTAATATTTACTTTAATTATTCAGAATTCTGAAAAAGAAACCTTTTAACACTTTTTATATCATTAAATACTGCAATATTACAATTATTTTTTAAGAGAAAAACAGGGAAAAGTTTTAAGATAAGCAATGCATAATGTTTATGCATTTATGTTTTTTCTGCATTTATGATTTGAAATATGGTCAGAATTGATTCTTACATTTTCCACATAAAACTTTCTCTTCATCATAAAAAGTTTTAACAAGTAATATTTATCAAAGGTATATATCAAGAGGTATATTTATGAAACCTAATCACATGCACTTACAACCTAATAGCTTACAGCACTTAGTGATAAAACCACACAACAACTTGCAGCATACATAAAAATAGTAATATTTGCAGCATCCATAAAAATAATAATATTTGCAACATCCAATTCTTTTATTTTTATACAAATTAGAAGATATCAAATTTCATACACACATACATTAGAAAAGAAAATAACAGAATTAAAACAGTACCAATTTCAAGTATTCTTTCACCAACCCTTTGACTCTGCCACTGAGCAATCTGTTCTTTCTCAGAATACTGCAACCTTCTTTCTTGAAAACCAACACGAATTATACTCTAGAAACATGTCACATTATGTAAAATTTCAGAGTAAAATCTAATTAAAACATTCACAAAATAAACATGCTTTTTCTTATACTCTTAAATATTTATAATATTGCCATTTAGCATTAAAAATACTTCAGAGTCTAAATTTTTTAGAACAGTGTCTATTTAATTCTTTTGTCATGAATGAGCTTAACTTACACATCGAAAGTACGCACTACAAAGCACAAAACTAAGCTCAGTTTCCTAGAATGATTTCTGTCTAGTGGTACATAAATAAGTCTTAATTATTTTTTAGATTCTTACACTAGTCTACACAGATAAACTGATGTCATTCCTGAAAATAATCAAGAGTAAGTCTGTTTGTAATTCAAAACTTTCTGAGTTACACACAAGAGCTACTTCACAAAAACTAGTTGAATTAATATGGGTGGAATTAGTATTTTCTGCATAAATGAGGAAAGTTTTGAATTTTACCAAGCTTTTCTTATTCTACATATTGGCAATAGTTTAACTACTGAAATGTTAGGGCAAAAGTAAAAGCTTGTTAAACTTTTATTAACCAATGAATACAATTTAGAAGAAAAATGAACTTTTGGCAATAATAGAAACTCAAGTTTTGAGATGTTATATATATATATATATTAAGTCCATTAAGGGGGGCAAAAAGCCAACATTTAGCAGCCTGAAGTTACAAATGTTATTAATGTTACAAATGTAAAAGTTACAAAATGTTCATCAGCCTTCAAGTTCCTTTAATTTTACAGGTGTTGCATGTATGAAAATACAAACATTTTGTTAATAAGTACAAAGCATGTCTTTCAAGCATTAGTTTCCAAGCCTGTGTAATTCCACCAAAACCAACTATCTTTCATAAAAGCAACTGGGAAAAAAGAAGAAGCATTTCATATTATCACTGCAAAGGAATATTGAAAACAACATGAAAATGATAAGCAGAAAACCATTAAAGCATTACCTAAAATTATCATATTTATTATCATAGAGAAAACATCTTATCTCTGTATATCTATCCAAAGAAAGGTTACAAAATAAATAAACATACTTAAGGAAAATAAGTCAAGTCTAAAAATATGCGAAATTTAGTTTGGTGATAAATTTAAATTCTGTTGAGGGGGGCACATGGGTTTTTTTTTTTTTTTTTCCCATTCTGACATTAAGAATTCTTAATAGTCTGCCAAATGTTGTTGATATTTGCTCTCATGCTCCTAAATACAAAGACTTGTTAATTTGTCTCTTGAAATGTATACATTTGAAGTTTACATTAAACTAACATCAAATTTTGAATATATTTACAAGTTAAATAAAATATATAAATAAACAAAATTTCATAGGCACACATAAATGCATTACTGTCTTAATAAAAATTGACTTAAAAGAGATTAAATTAGCTAAATTGCAATCAATACTCATTGTAGCAGGAAAAGGAATTTTCATGGAAAGAGTTTTAGTAGTTTTTGCAATAGGCAGTAAAACCGAAATTCAAGTCTGTATTGTTGTTTCCCTGGATGGCAGCTGAGACTTCGTACAAATAAAAATGATTTTCTAGAGTTTAAATGAAATTTTCACTGAACCATTGTGATGGATTTTATTTTGCTGAATTGTGAAGTATGCAACATCTTTTCTACTTCAAATATGACCATTTTATTTATTGAGTCATATACATGGTGACTGTTAACAACACTATACTATGAAATGTTAACAACACTATACTATGAAAAATATTTATATCTACAGATGTAATCATACACACATACATACACAATCATACATACATATATTTTCAAATTCCTATGTGGTATTTTTCAAGGCCCTTTTTATAGGCTATTGAAACTGCATATTTCTTTTATAATAGCTCTATAAACTGGAGATTTAAAAAATAAAAATAATTAGATATGCAAAATATATAGAACATATATTAGGGAAATCAAAAGCATTCATTTAAGCCCATTCTAAGATCTGTAAAATTCATCTAAATTCGAAACACAGTAATTACAACAACTCACCTTCAACATCTTGCCTCTCATTTCTGTAAGATCACCCAATTTTTTCAACTTTATTTCGTAAGACTGGCCTGCAAAAAGGGATTTATAGTAATTATATACTAATAGTAATAATAAACTTATAAAAATGCCAAGTCTAGCTATATCATCTATCAATAAATAAAAAATGTTGACCACAACTGGAAAAATTAGTTCAGATTTAAAACAGTATCTATAAATCTGCATAAAGAGGTTATCACATCTAGCGACGGTGCCTGTTAAACAGGACTTTTCTGAGAAATGAGATTCTAGTAGCACTGGTTTAAACGGGAGGATTCTTAGAAAAAAGAGCACCGCTGGAAATGAACAGTCCCGTGTAGAGATCAACCAATCAGATGAAAGTGCTGCTTCTGATGAAAGTTCACATGATCCCAATTTGAGTGATAATCGATTACTGTTTAGTGTTCAAGTATCTGTAGTAAGTGAAAATGGTAACCTAGCTACATGGGTTTCCTGAAAATGTGCGGGTTCTGAGAATTGTCCCTTTTGACGTCAGAAACATAATGTGATTGGGACTTAACACAAGAGATGCAATGGTTAATGCATCTATTCTCTTCTGCAGATATTGTTTTGAAAACAATGTTATTTAATTTATTATAAAGCATACAATACACAGTATTCTATATGGTGTTGCTTATTTATTACATTTTCTACATATCATTAACCTATATAATTACTATAAATTAACAGCCAAAATTCTAAGAATAAATAACACATAAACTTTAATGCATGAGAAACAGAAATCCTGAAGTTTAATTTTAATTGAGCCATTTATTATTTGGGTACAATTCATGAATAGGCTCCAAGACTACAGCATTTAGAATTAAGTCGTTTCTTTCTTAAAAACCTCACTTGATAGTTTTATCCTAACCATGCACTTAATTTTTTCAAATGGACATTGTGACTTGATGAGATTTTCCATCTCTAAGTTCAATCCTAGTTGTTTTTTCGTATAAAAAACTCTCTGAAGAAAATCATACTGGGTTTTAAGGTTTCGTTAAGATAATGACAAAGTGCTATTCCACAGGAGAAAACAATCTGGCAGTCTTGAGATCTTTTCCCATAAAGTTAACGCCTTCCCTTCAATTATTGATTTAATATTCATATGATTTAACACTCATATGGGTAGATATCAAAAGCACATCAATCAGAGTTGTCTAAACAGCTCCCGTGATAAGACAAAGGGCTTGGGAATGGAATTTTTCCAAGATATCAGTAACTTGTTTACTTGCCACCACTAAAGGTTCAGAACAGTAAGTAATAAGTGGCAAAATATAGGAATTACAGGTCAGATGAGGGGTTGTTCTGCAGCATTCCCACATAGAGTCAGCAATTCTTTTTATTAAAGTAAGTTTCTTAGTAGCTCTTTCCAATACATTTGTAATATTGATAGGTTACTGTTTAGTGTTCAAGTCTTTGTAGTAAGTGAAAATGGTTTCCTGGAAATGTGCGGGTTCTGAGAATTGTCCCTTTTGACGTCCAGTCCTCTTTCCATGTCAGTTTTAAATATGACACCCAAATAAGTGGATGGTCCGAAACAGAGAAGTTTTTGAAAAATAAGTTCGCTTGAAGTTGGCGTGTGAGGAAACGTTTGATATACAGTTTCTAGATTTATTCCGTATTATTATAGTATCAATTGCTTTTTATTTCAGCTGATTAAAGAGTTTCAGTGTAATAGCTTTGTTTTTTTTTTTTGGGGGGGGGGATTTTCAGTCCAGATAACCAAATTGTCTACATAAAGTAGGCATTAGTAATAAGGTCATTTATATAAATGTTAAAAAGTAAACAACCACAGTTTTAAGATTCTTGAAATGTGAGAAGCAGTTTTTGAAGCATACTTTACAGATTCGCTGGCCGAGAAAACTATTGGAACATATTTGAGTGGAAAACAATATTAGATAGCTTTAATGTCATAGGCAGATTTTAGGTTTACAAAAATAGCTGATAGGATGTGTTTTTTTGTCCAATGCATCCTTTACCATCTGGCTAAGGAGATCGACATGCTGGTTAGATGATCTGTACTGTCTAAATCCCGCTTGCTCATTGGCTAAACATCCAAAATTCTCAATAAATAAGAATTATAGTAATATTTAATAAATAATTATATAAATGTTTTTGATAAAGTGATTAAAATAAAGTTAAACAGTTTTATGTGGTAAGTCAAACCACACTTTTGCAATAATTCAGCTTTAGATTTGTCACCTGCACTTGCATGTTTTTAGAGTTGGTGTTACAGTGGCGATGTATCAAAATCAGGTCTTGATCTCATAATTTTTCTTGCTATTGTAACAGTGTAAGTATGACATCTCTAATAACAGCATGTACCATGTAGGACCAAAGGTCAGAGGTTCAATTTCTATGGTCAAAAGGTAAGTCAGGTCTGGTTCTGACACAGCAAGAAATTACCACAGATGTGACTACATGTTTTCTGCAGATCAGTCATGAATTTGCCTAAGAAATCACAGAAGAGAAGCCCAGCTTCCATAAAATCTGTGCAAGATAGATACTAAGAAAATTTCTTTTGAAATTATTAATCATTTGGATTTCAAAATGGAGAAGTACACTGTCTGCAGTTTAGAAATAGGCCCGGACTGTTCAAAGATGCATTAAGAGGTCAGAATTTTTATCGACAGAGATATGTGGGGAATGATGTATAAATGGTTGAACAACCAACAACAGCGAAAACTTGATCTTGGAGGGAATATTCAAACCTATGGATGGTTAAACCAAATGTATTGTAAAGAAAGGGACTGTGCAGGAAAATGGGTACTTAAATAGTATCACAACCATTTCAGCAGAAGTCGAAAAATATTAAGAATGTGCCAAACTCTGGGAACCATGTGCCTAACAAACGTTCATTCAAGCAACATCCACATACTTGTATGCCTTCTTTTTGTTGTGTTCCAAGTCCCAATGGTTTTGATATTCAAATCCTGACATTTTGGACATAAAGTGAATTCTAAAATATGAATTTGTTGTATTTGCCAGCAATAGAAGAAATTGCCATAAAATTTCTGCATGGATACAGACTTTTGCTGCAAAATCTCTAGATGGAAAAATAAGGAGATGCATTTTGTAGAAAGCTGGTATTACTGAGGTTTGTGCGATGCCTTGTCCCAGCAATTTTCTGATTTTTTTAAAGCAAAAACAGATTGCTCTGTACTTGAGGAGTAGAAGAGTGCCTCCCCCAAAAAAATTGCAGAAAGATTTAGTGAAAAATTTAAGCATTTTATTTTCTTAATGTATCACATAAGCCTTATTTAATAATTAAAACATGCAATTTAAATTCCTAAAGTTATGTTTTTTCCCCATATGTTAATAACATCTTCCAACTTTTGATTTACATTGATAGTTTGGGAATATTTAAAAAAATTGCAAAAACCACCAACTTGCATAATATACCGTACCGTAATTTCCGGAAGAAAGGCTGCAACAGCGTAAATGCTGCACTCGAGAAAAATAGCGAGAAAAAAATTTAAATTACACAGAAACACAGCATCAGTGTAAACACCGCAATAGATTAAATTGCGCGT